TTAAAATTCTATTAAAAGACTACAGATATAACAGATGAATGTCCTGACTGACTAACCTACTTATCCAAATCCCATGCTAAATAGGTAAAGCTGTAGAAGAACAGATGTAGCAATCTAAAATCTACCAAAATATTTCAGAATTGGGACTCTGTGCTTCAATTCATTCAGCTTCAATGGAACTGAATTCCTAAAAATGTTGTCAAAGGGATCAGACTGAACATCCTATGGTCAACAAAATAGGACATTTTTATGTTTCTTACACAGCTTCTTGTGTCTCTTCTGCACTGCTGTATCTATAGTATGTATGTATGTATGTATGTATGTATGTATGTATGTATTATGTATGTGTAAATGGGCCAAAGACTGTAAGCTTGAGTTTCTGGATCAAATGAATACCACACTTACATGTGTATTTATCTCTCTGTATTTACTCCAGAATTATCTCCATTAAATATGAACTATTGTCAGGCTTCTTTTGAAAATCCTTTTGAGCATTAGAAAACCATAAGAACTAAGGTAAACTTTTAAACAAAGCTCACTGGTTAAGCTGATCACTTTTAGATTCCTGATTTACCTAGAGTCCTTGAGGAAGCTTCGATTAGCGTCAAAACAACAACAACCCCCCCCCCACTAATGCTCTATGTTACACTTTTACCAGAAAACATACCATAATAATATTTGACAAGCATTGTAGGACAACTAAGATTCTGTTATTATGCAGCTCTATTTTCTCACATTGACCTCAGATGAACAGAAGATGTACTGATACTTAGGCAGGGAAGTTATGCTAAATCCAGTTTCTAATAACTTCCTCTGCAAACCATGCAAGTTCAAAGACCAAATACTGGCTCTCTTATCTCGCAATAAATTTTTATTTGTTGATTCTTGCTGGAAAACTATTACACTTAATTCCTCGTGAAGTATTTTGTCCTCAAAAGACCTTGTTGCTACAGCTCCCTAATATTAAAAGTTGAGAATATGAAGATTCTGTGAGAAAAGAAAACAAAATGTGAAAGGTGCTGGTGGTAAAAACTGTCAAATCAAAATAAAGATTAAAAAATGTTGCCCAAAATTATGTACCTGAATTTATCTGTCAAATGAGTGTTTGTAATTTATAATTATATAACAATGCCGCTTGCTGGTAATATTCAGTCAGATTAATTCCCTATGCTGAAATGACACTTGTCAAAACTGCAACACTGTCCAAACAAATTTAGCAGTACTGGAGAGTTTAACTATGTTAATTCTTCTAACCATTTCAAGATCTTCAATATCACTTCCACAAGAGATACTTCTCTGGAACTGAACTAAGTACCATTGTATTGTTGAAGGCTGGCACAGAGAGAACTGCTCCTGTCTGTGCTCCTGCTCTCTGAAGATGCCGGTCACAGATGCTGGC